TAATGTTCACTTGACTCGTGCCGTGTGCTCCTCTTTGCTACTGTTCTGTAACTTGTGATGCAACACTGAAATTTCCCCACTGTGGGACGAATAAAGGATCTCTTAAACTTAATCTTAATCTTAAATTACAGCATTATACATTTTTTTAGCTGTGCATACGGCTGAAGGATTTTATTGATACATACTCTTTTTTTAATGCATTGTGGTTATTTATTATTTTAATCCTGTGTGTGCTTTTAATGTTTTAAGGTTTCTTCATTACTTGTGATTTCATTCTGTTTTTAATGTATTTATTGTTTGTATATGTAGATTTTTATGTTTCTGATTTGTCTGATATTATGTGGGTTGTGAGGCGCTTTGAGTGGCCTTGTGTTGGAAAGGCGCCATACAAATAAAGTTGATTGATTGATTGATATTGTGTTTCGCAACAAGAATGTCCTGGGTTCGCTTCCACCTTCTGGCCTTTCTGTGTGGAGTTTGAATCTCCCTGTGTCTGCGTAGGTTTCCTGTGGGTGCTCTGGTTAACCCTACCACTAAAACATGTATGAAAGGTATGAATGTAATGAGTGAATGTGTGTGGAGAGAATGGAAAAATATCTGAACTCTGAACATTGTAAAGCGCTTTGGAAGACCTTGGCCTGTAAAATGCACTAATAGACATGACTTACTTACATACTATTACAGGACTGAGGGCTGAGTTACATATGTGTGCTTGAAGTTCCTGATATTGGCATGGATGGATATAAAAACAACTCCAGCTTCATTTTTTATGAGGAAACAATGTTGCAACACAAAAAGATTCATAATGTGTCTGAAAGATGGAAGATAACTCCCTATAGCTGCACTGTTACACACGATGTGACCCACTGTTACAAGATTGAAAATAATAAGAATAAATCATTTGCGACATCTCTCTCAGGTGGAAATGAATCATGGACGGAGATGATTGTAATTCTCTTTCACACTCCGAGCAGCCCTCACATCAGCGAGCTTCTGCAGTAGAGACAAGTCCTCAGGCCACAACCAAAGAAGAACCAGAGAAGAGAATGCAGAGAGGAGGCTGCTTTCTGCTCGGAGGACCAGAGAGAGACGCTGATGTCAGAGTTCAGCCTGCACACGGAACACCTATTATACTGCACAATGGAAACCACAACTGTGAAAGCCTTTTGTGTTTGGAATCTATATGTAGTTCTTACACATTTACCCATTTGGATTTTCTTTCTCCAAAGTTTGGTAATCATGGTTCATCTTTACAGTATGACACTTGTGGACAAGACTGACAAAGGATTACAGTTTGAAGCAGGTCTATTCAACTCATGGGCCATGTTTGTCCATTTCTGGAGGGGAACAATCAGCTGCCACTTGGTTCACAGAGCACCAGCCCATCACTGATCCTCCTGCAGGTGGTGAGTCCACAGGGGGACGGCTTCTCTATCTGTGACTCCTTCAGCGGGGGCTTCAGGCAAAGTGGGATTACTGTAAGTGCCCAAGGACACGACGATAGCAGACATCAGTGGGAGTCGGTGGAAAAGGTCTCATGGTGGGCTTGAACCCACAAACTTCAGGCTCAAAGGTTCTGAGCTACTGTCAAGTAGTTTTTTTTTTTCAATCTTGATTCAAGATCATTTTGAAAAAGATTTGCCCATGACCACTGCAGACTCTCCTGCTGTTATCCATAATATCCACATGGTGTGTTTACACTTTATTTTCAGTGGATATTTGTGATCTACTAAGAGTAAGATATTTTGACAGCAAGAGTGACTGCGGCGTCAGACATTCTATCACAAAGCTTTTTAACTTCCATCCATCCATCCATCCATCCACCAACTGTTACCCTTCAGAAAATCTTGCTGGTGGTAGTAATGTGAAGGATAGGATCAATTTTCAAAATATTATTGTTGGAAATACTTACTGGACAAAACAGCACAGTGAACCTTGGTCTGAAATATGCATTTTTTAAATACATGTCTGGTTGTTTGTAAATCTGTCCAATATCTGTACTTCCACAAAACCATTCATCGCGAATGAATAAAATACTGTGTTTGAAATATCTGCTGTGAAATAATCAAAGTGTTGTTTCCAGCCCAGAACACATGGCCATCCAATTTCTTAAAACAAGGCTTTTCAATAATAGCTGTGTTCATATTTACAGTGAGAAGCGACAAGATTGAAAAAGACTTTGTGGTATGGATGAGACAGACCAAAAGAACTGTGCAAAAAATCAAAAGATCGTAATCTCTTTCAAAAGTCAGGAGAACAAACAACATGAGTTTTCACCTCATCACTCATCTGTACTTGCTCTGAGTGAAAGTTTTTGTCAATTGGAAAATATTGCATTTGGCATTCCAGTTATTGTGTTTGTATTAAATTGGATACATAAAATGTAATCAAAATTTTAGATCAGTCGATACTAGAAGGGGGAAAATATTGATTCACATATTTCCCCAGATCACCCACCCCTCTGTCTGCCTATATCTCAAACACCCACACAACCAGACTCACAAACACACACATCACACAATCAAAGTGGTAGAAGTGTCTGGCTCAAATACAACCATGTAAGGATTGAACTGGCGACCTCAGTGAACGGGGCCATCATTCTCTGTCTTGATTTGCGGCAATGACTCATGTTTGGAAGTACAGTATATTTACATAATGTCAAGGATTTATCAAGGATTTTTTTCTAAAAACATTGTTAAAGTATTCAACATAATCTCTTATAATAAGTTTTTTTTCACCCTGTTTTAGCATCCTACTGTGAGATGCTGTACCAATCACTGTGATGTGCCTGTAGCAGAGGTGGGACAAAGTCATTGTTTAGCAAGTCACAAGTCAGTCTCAATTCATTGCCCTCAAGTCCCGAGTCAAGTCACGAGTCAAGACAGGCAAGTCCCGAGTCGAGTCCAAGTCAAAGGCCAACAAATCTCAAGTCAGTCCCAAGTCCTACGGTTTGACTTTCGAGTCCTCTCGAGTCTTTTTGACCGCGATTTGTTTCTTGTTGGTCTCCACGTACTTTTGTAGGCAAACAAAATAATGTTAGGAATCATTTTGCTGGTGCATTCTCGTTGGTCTCTGACCCATGGACTAACAGTTTGTTCCATGTCGTTGGCTGCTGGTAAATCAAAACTATCTACGTGATCTAATTGGATGTTGTGCCAGATGCAGGCTCAGTTACACATGCACAGACCACACATAAAATCAGAGCAGTCCATGTCAACATACTTTTTATCTTTGGGGTTTTTAATGGGAAGTAGCAAGTGCAGCAGTGCAGCATATATGAATATGAGTATTGGGCTAGGACCTGTATCTATATAATCAGTTTAATGTCCGTAGTGGTTATTGTTCCAAAGGACTGAAGGGACCAATGGAGGGGAAGGAACCTGGCCTGTATGAACTGGGCCAGCATTAGTAATATCTCATAATTACCAATATATCATTACATAATAAAATGTCTCATATAAATTAATTCAATCAGTCAAAGCACTGATTCTCATATCAATGCACCATAAACAATAGTGCAAATATTAATCTAGCTTAGTGCACATAATCAAAACAACTATCTAATGTATGCAAACTTTAGCAGGAGGAGCACAGCAAAAACATACTCATAATAATAGGCCTCGGCGCGCACACAGAAAAATATAAGAAAGAGCCAACAGAGCAGCGCAGGCTAGCGCTAGTTTGACTCACCAGTTCCTCTTTAAAACACGGCACACAGTGTGACAACTGCGTCGATTCAATTGTATGAGGCGCCTGTAGTGAAAGCATATCAATTACGGTTTGTAGAACAAAATATGACGTTAGGTCGCGATAAATACCTGCAGCTCGCTCATTTCCAGCTCCCCTAGACAACACACCCACCGGTGAATGCAGTCCGCTTGTTTAGGGAAGTGTTGCAGCGCGAACTGCGGGGAACTCACGTTCGAACTCTCGCGCGAGCGCTACAACTACCGCGAGGCTTTGTTTCTTCAGAGACGGCATAGATAGAAAGAAAGATGCGGAGAAAGGTAAAAATGGCCCGGGTTACGCAAGTCTTTGCAAGTCAATTGGCGCAAGTCCAAGTGAAAGTCAGAGTCATTGATGTTAAAGTCCAAGTCGAGTTGCAAGTCTTTTTACATTTGGTCAAGTCGAGTCTAAAGTCATCAAAATCATGACTCGAGTCTGTCTCGAGTCCAAGTCACATGACTCGAGTCCACACCTCTGGCCTGTAGAATAAACACATTGATGTTTTTTTTAACTAATACTCAAGAATCCCAAACAGCCCAATAAACAAAATCATTCCATAATTTACTTCTTACAGGATGGTTGGGGGTGTGTCTGAAATACTAGGCAGTGTGCCATAAATCCATTGAATAGAAATGCCTCAATGCCAGCCAAATTTGTTTTTCTGATCCTGCTTGCTTATTATCAGGCAGATACGACGACCCCCCCACTGCTTCCCTTTATCTCGTTAAGTGTGAAATCCACAATGCCAAATCCTTAACACAATAAGAGCGTGTATAAAGAGACCAATGGAAAATCTCCTTTGACAGTTCTCCTGGATCTGTGAGCATAGGTGAGAAATCAAACCAAGCTCTCCGTTCAGTTTACTTCTTAACACAGCGCAAAAGTAGTAAAAGTAGATGGACATTTGGTCTCGCTGTCTGCGTTGTCATGGAATACAGCGCGCGCACGTCGAGAAATCAAAGCCAAAAAACCAAACGCCCTCAAAGTTCAATAGACTTCACCACACTAACTATATGGACACAATGTGACTGGCTTTTGAGTGATATTATGGCTGCACTAAACAAAACGCCGTGTTTTACCATCCCAGTCCTGTGCGTAATTGCGCTTGGGTACGCGTAAAAAAGAGCCAAATGACAGTGCTTACCGAGTTCTCTTGCTGGAGGACGAGTTTCTTCCGATTTAAACGTTGTGAGTTTAAGAGCACTGAGGGAATCCCAGCTGCAAGCGCTCTCTGCTTTTACGCGCGTCCATGGCCAATAAATATTTCACACTGCTTACGGATCTGCATCTGCTGTGGCACAAGGTGGCACCACGTCGCGGGTCATCGCCGCCTTGAATGCACGAAGAGTTCCTTGGAAGTTGTCGCGTTTCCAAAGTTTGTACATGATCCCAGAAGGAAAAAGGTGTGTGCGCAAAAGTCCACTGCTGTCTCGCTGCTCCTGGTGATGCGAGTTGGGGTGAAGTGATGGGAACGCGCGCTCTCCAATCCTCTCCTCCCTCCAGATGTGTGGAGCCAGGGAAGGGGGTGTGAGGGTTAGGGGGTGGGAGGGGTGACCACACTGGACGTTGTAGTTGTGGTAGCAGTAGTTTTCAAACAGCCTACTCCCCAAACAAGTCAAGTTTACCCACGGCGCATGCAGCAGAGCGCTTCTGATGGGACTGGGACATGACAGCGCCTTCCACGAGTGCGCTCCCCCGTGCACGCGGTGAGGCAGACCAAAGGCGTGTCTAGAGCGGCGCGTCTTCATAACTGATTCCATTTTTTTCACGTGGGCTATAAAGCTGTTGTCAGTATAGGCAATAGAGGGACATATTGACTGAAGTCCTCCATACTCTGGAAACTTGTGGCAAAATACAGTCTTCTCAGAGTCTCATTTTACAAAAGACGAACATGTAAATTCTACTGTGTTGCTGTGCGGTTTCTTACAGAGAAAAGGACACTTTTAGAAACCGCACAGCAACGGTTTCTAAAAGTGTCCTTTTCTCTGTAAGAATGAGATTTTCCCTCCCTGCTCTTATCAGATGATTTCATACTCCTCAAACGCACCATGTAAGTGGCTGTGCGTCCATGAAATCTGCTCTTTCTTTCAGGGTGGTTTAGTAGATGTTAATGCACGCGTTTTATAGAGCGCTTTCTCTGGACACCCAAAGACACTTCACACAGCATTATTCATTCATCATAGCCACAGCCGCCCCGGGGCAGAATGATAGAAGCGAGTTCAATATAAAAAGCTCATCATGTCTTCTTTATGATTTAGGTTTACAAGGTTTTTATAAACGAGACAAAGAGTGTAAAGAAGCTAGTCTTGCTTACACAAACCCACACAAACCCACACACACACACATAGCGGCTGCAGGACTGATCCTTGTCATACAAAAGCCAATTCAAAAACCACATTTTCACCAATAGAACACAGCTTTGTAGAGGTGACAGTTCGAACAAGTCAATGAAGCTGCTGTTTCTGACATGCACTGACCATTGTGCGGCATACAGAGAAAAAAAATCAAAATCTTCATCATATACGCTGTGATTCTCAAAGCGCGGGGTGGAACAGACAGGGCAAAATACAGGACAGGCTGCAATTGAGAACAGGCTGCAATTATTTCTCCAGTATGTATAATCCTAGAACTGCCATACTCCCATATTGATTGACACACACATAAATATACACATGAAATGATGACAAATAACACAATAGATGACTCAACTATAAGCAACCCTAAACTGGAAGAGGGCTTGCAGAGGTCCTTCTCTGGAAATTTTGCAAATCCCTGGTTTGTCAAAAAAAATAAAAACATTTCCAGCTAAGGTCTGAACAACTCCTCTGGCTCTCTGTTGCTTACCACATCCAATACAAGGTCCCCCCCTCACCTTCAAGTACCTCCATAACCTGGCCCCTTCATACCTCACTGACCTCCCCCATCATCACTGTCCCATCCGCTGCCTCAGGTCCACAAACTCCAACCCCCTCACTCCTCTTCAGGACTAAACACCAAACCTTGGGGGTACGAGCCTTCACCGTATTGCTGCCCCCACGCTCTGGAACTCACTCCCACAACCCATTAACTCAGCTGTGTCTAGGTCATATCACCACCGTGTATGGAGTGAAAGAATAAAGACATGTGAAGCATCTTTATGTGTCCTGAAAAGCTACTATTTAAAACCAATACATTATTATTTACATTATTTATGGAGATCCTAAAAAACTAAACCCTGTGTTTAATGAATATGAGTTTTTTTGTTGGGGAAAACATGATGTTTACCAGCATCAGTGATCGCGAATATGCGCCGCTACCAAGTCCAAAAATAACCACAGTTTCCAGATATTTGACAGCGATGAGCAACTTCACCAACCAGCTTCCCTTAAAGTGAGAATATAGAGTGCGGTGTAGGCTATCCAGTCCAGCAGAGAGATGCTAAAGGAAGGGGGCCATTATGGAAGCATTCTGTTGGAGCAGAAAGGAGGGTCTGGCAGCAGATAGAGCTAATGCACACAGTACTATCCATATGGAAGCAGCAGGCCTGTATAACTGCTGTATATACAAAACAGGAACATGCATTAGGCTGTGGGTTACTGCTGACTAACAGTGTATGACTCAAGATTGTCAAGAAGCTCCAGTGGGGGTTAAATCAAACTGCTCTATGACATTATGAAAGAAGTGTATTGTATCTTGATAATAAATATTCTAATGCAATCTTTGTCTCGAGTTTTTCCAGATTATAGTATCAATGTTTAATGATAGGTAAAACATTCAGGTGTAACCAGAGGAGGAAGCACCATCCGAGGAGCCAGCTGCTGCAGAGATCCGCCTGCAGCCGTTTGGGACAACACAGCACCCAGAGGATACATGAAGCTGAGGCCCCAAACCTCCTCCAGGTCCATGATCCAGACCTGCACCGCCGACCACTGCTCTCAGTGCAGAGGACTCCTACAGTGTGGTAACCTGATATTTCTCTTACCATAAAAGAGAAATATTACTATTATATAGAGTAAAAGCACAACAAGTAATGGAGTATGTAAATTCAATGAATAGAATAGGTATTTTTGTGACGTCCCCAGTCTTGTGGTTTGTGTGCTGCTGCCACTGGCTCTCTCCTCCTTCCAGATTCGAGCCAATGGGGGAGCTGACTTGGACTGACAGCATCTGGTGGTGGGTGGGGCCGACCACATTCAAAACATGTGCAGACTCCATTTGTGTCCAAACTTTGAGCCAGTTTGTGACACTAAACTTCAGTACAATCATTAATCAAAAAAGAACGTTGACTGTTGAGCCATTGTTTCCTATTGAAAATCACTGCAGTTCTCATGCTTTCAGATCCCACCCACGCTAATATCAGAAACTTTTGGCACATACCCAGCCTCTTACATAACGTCGTGTAAACAGAAAAGACATATGTAGTGCACGTGTATGTTTCTACCAATGTATTTTCCAAAATAACACTAATACTTTGCATTTTAATTTGATTATAAATGAGAAGCCACAAAGCATCCACGGAGAGAGAGATTCCATTACTTTTGTGAGGGATTAAGGAAAAAACTGAGCTCTGCTGGAAGAGAAGGCTGCTGCTCGGAAAACGGGACGTGGTAAACAAGTGTGCGAGGATTAGCAGTGTGGGGTTGTTAAAATTCAATCAATTTGTGAAAACACTTATTACACTGAGCCTCATGTGTTTCCCCGTCGCCGCTGTGGGTGTGGAGCAGGATCATTGTCTCTTTATGTTCACCCAAAAGGACAGTGTCAGGAACTGGAGGTGATAAAGATCCTGAACAGGCGGCACGATGGCTGAGTGGATAGCACTCTCGTTTCTCAGGAGGAAGGTCCTGTGTTCGAATCACGGTCGTAACAAGGCCTTTCTGAGTGGCGTTTTCGCATGTTCTCCCCTACCACTAAAAAACATGCACACTTGGTAGAATCCTCCAGCTCCGGTCCTGACCAAGCCGTGCATCAACAACTGGAGATGGGTTCCCGGGTGCTGCTACTAAGGTGTTGTACCACGGTGTTACTACGTGGCTGTATTGTTACCACTGCTCCTGATGTAAGCCTTCGCGGCATCAGGATGGGTCAAATGCAGAGGATGAATTGCCCTACGGGGATCAATAAAGTGCACCTTTACCTTTAACTGTCTTTTCAATCTGGAATATTGACGACCAATCACAGCTTAACAACCTCCACAGTTCATGATCCCTGTATGAGCCTAAACACAGTCTTGCCTTTTTTGTTTATATTTAGACTATTTCTATTTAAAATATTTCTATTTTGTCTTGTATTGTTATTACTATTACACTAGAACAATTTATTTTTGGTAATTTTTTCCAGGGTTCCGACGCCAGGCCCAGGTGTGTCATGGGACAGTGTTGAGAGTGGAGTGGAGCCAAATAGTTATTTGACCTTGCTCCGCTCCTTGATTCTTGTTTTCTTGCCTTATTCCTGCTAAATGTCAATGTTAGTTCAGTAGTTTCAGAGTGACAGAAAGAAGAGACTGTTGTCAAAGTTGGTTTTGATTTTAGTCAAAGATCCCAAAACAGGGAATGGATTCAACTTGATATGGGAGCGTATGGCTTGCTCTTAAAACTGCTCTTAGAAGACACCAGCTGGAAGTGGTCGTAAAAACACTGGAGTCAGTTTATTAAATGATATATTATATGATCTAATTAATCAAATTTAAGTCCTGTCGATAGTGAAATGTATTTTTATGAAAGTAAAGCAAAACAGTTTAAAGGTGTCTTTCAGAAGAACCAGTAACATGAACTTTTGCATCTATTTGCCCTTGGCAGGTAAAGATTTGAAGAACAGTAACCTTGTTCTGCCAGTTCTTTTTCAAACGTTTTGAATTTTTAAACTCACAAGGATTCACCTCCTTCTGCTGGAGCAAAGCAGAAAATAGTAAATACATTTATATTCTAACGATGCATTTATTTTTCATGGCAAATCCATAGTCACTCAAAGACGCCTCACATGGCCTCCATCCATACACAGTGGTGCAGAACTACTGCTGTAGCCACATCTGCCCCGGGGCAGATTGACATAAGTATGTGCCATCAGCCCTTCTGACCACCACCAACCATTCACTAGACTCGTGCTGGGCAATGTGAGTGAAGTGTATTACTTTACAGCCGCTGCTTTTGAAATAAAATAGTATGTTTTAAAGCTGACCTGCTTTCACTCAATTGCTGTTTTTTGCCTCTTTCTAACATTGTGTGGTGTGTGCTCTAACTGACACTGGTTTGGATGGACAGAGGTCAGGATCTTCTGTTGATTAATTCATTGTGCAGCCTGTTTTACTTCTGTGATTGTGTGAGCGCGGAGCCACATGAAGGCGAGCACCACACGCTACACAAAGATTATTTATGAAGCCTGCTGGTGCACAGTCCACTCTGAAGAAGACTGGGCACCAGCCATAGAAACTTTCAGGTGTGGAAAAAACAAATCCTTTTGTCTCTCTCAGAAGACTAAATGAACTTTGTTGGACGAGCACATGTTGATGGTAACTCAAACCGTTGGATACAGATCCTGGTATAGTTGTTTTTGTGTTTTATATTTAAACTCAAGAGCCACTTGCAGGAGCCGTGCACAGATCATTTTTACAGATGAAGTAATTTAGTTCAGTAAATCGGCGTGAAGACCAGCCTTTCACACACAGACTGAAGTGCTGTCTCTTGTATATTTTATCTTTAATTGAATCAATAGCAGCTCCTGAAAGCTCATTAGCCGTGTTGAGAAGGCTTTGGATGTTAATGGAGGAAAC